CGCGGCTGGCGGCTCTTAGCGCGGGCGCGCGTGCTGCCTCCAACTCCCCATCCCCCTCCTCCTCCTCTCCTCATCCCCCCTCCTCTTCCTCCTCATCCTCCTCTATCGGCCCAGCTCCGATCGCCGCTCAGCTCTCCTGGTGCGGCTGGCGGCAAAAGTACCGAATAGTGCCTGGGATGCCCTTCACCGTCTTCTTCGACATCTCAAGCATCATCTTGCCCTTCTCCTCGGTACGGCGCGCCTCCTCCATCATCTGCCGCGCCTGGTCGACGAGCATCTGGCCTTTCTCTCCAACGGCGCGTGCATGGCGGCAACGATTGCGCCACTGGAAAAACCGCACCACCATGGTCGCCCAGTTCCAAACACTGCCCTCCGTCGCGATGAGCTCGAAGTCATCGACGTCGCGCTTGCCCGCGATGCTCGCCATAGCGGCGCAAAGGCCGCGAAGGAGCCTCCTCTGGCAGCCCCCGCTGCTGCGGAGACTTCGGCAGAGGCTCCTGCGCGGTTCCGTCGCGGAGGCGGGCGGGCGCGGCGGGAGGCAGACCTGCAACGGCTGCGGCTTCACTTTATCGCATTTCCATCCCTCCCTGCACTCACATGGCTTTTCCCATTGCGCCAGTCTGCTGCTCCCACATCTGAACTACCTCATCCCTTCTACCTCCATCTGCACCCTCCTCTTCCTGTTCAATCCTCCCTCCTCCCTCCACCGTGCTCATTTCTCCTTACTCCCTTCTCTGCTCCTCCTACGTGGGGCGTTTCACGATAACGACGAGGACGATGACCACGACGGCGGCAACGAGGACGACGACGACCACGACGACGACGACGACGAGGACGATGACCACGACGGCGACCAGCGACGACGACTAGCGACGACGACGACCGACGACGACGACGCCGACCACGACGACGACGGCGACGACGACAACGAGCGACGACGACAACGACAATCGACGCCGACGAGGAACGACGACGACGAACGAGGACGACGATTACGACGACGAGATGACGAAGGTTCGAAGATCGAACCTCGAAGTGCGAAGCTTCGAAATTCAAACTGCGACCTTCGAACTCCGAACTTCAAACTTCGAACTGCGAACTTCGCTGGGGTGCCAGGGATGCAATGGGATGGAGGGAAAAATGGGAAGGAGAGAACGAGGAAGCGGGAGAGGAAATTGGAGGAGAACGAACAGGCGTGGAGCGACGAGGAACGGGCGGCGAGGAGCCGACGTTGAGGGCGGCGGGATGGGGGGGACAGGGAGGAGAGGGAAGACTTCAAAACGAAGATCGCGCCACGGCGCCTGCACGCGCGCTCCCGATCTCGGCGGCCGACGCGCGCGCCCCTGCCGAAATGCGACGCGCCCTTCGTTCGAGCCCCGCTGCTGCGGAGCCATCTACTCCGCAACCAAATTGTCTGGGGAGCTATTCGGCCCCAAAACTACTGGCTTGCCAGCCGCTGCTGCGGACGCCGAGGGCCTGGTGCTGGACGCCGCGGCCCCGCTGCTGCGGGGCCCCTGAGAAGGCGTCGGCCCCCCCTTCTCTCTGGCGGCGTCGAACTTGACCTTACGCTCCACACCGAGGTCCTTGTACCAGCGAAAAGTTCCTGACCCGTTGCTCCCGCCCAAACCCGCGGCTGGTGGCCTCACCGTGTCCGCGCGGGGGACGAGGGGCAGAGCTTCGACCTTCCTGTCGCCCCAGTGCGGGTGTAAACGGACGCCTGTCCCGTCGTCGCGGTGCAACACGAAATCCCACATCGGCAGCTTCACTTTCACCCGCTGCCCCGCGAACTGTCGCGCGCGCACAATACTCCGACGCATGCGGTCGTAGCTGTTTGGCCGGACTTCGAGGGAACAGCCGATCAGAGCCCCGCTGCTGCGGGGCCCCCCCACGACCTCCCTGATATCTTCCTCCCTGAGCGTCGCCACCATCTCTTGCCACCGCCAAGGGACTTCCTCGTCGCTTTTGAAACCAAAGCTCGTCCTCGCACCGTGGTCGCAAACAGCGACCATGGTGGGCTCCGCATTGTCAAACCACTTGGCTTCTGACTCGAACGGGGCAGTTGGGTCTTCATTCAGATGGCGCCACCATTTCAACGCTTGATTGTGTTGCTTAAACGAAGTGCCGAGCCTCTCTTCATAACTCAAAAAATAATTAACATCAAACTTCTCAAAATCCTGGGGCCCGCGCGCCGCCGCCGCTGCGGTGGCGCGGGGCTCCTGCGCCGCAGGCGCGGCTCGGGATCCCGACCCCTCTCCTGAAACTGTGTTCCCAGGTTCTGGTGAGTTTCGGAGGGCAGCCCTCACGAAATTATCGAATTCGGGCATGCCGAGACCAGGGGCGCGGGGGCTCACAACGCTAAGCGCGGCGAAGCGAGACGGCCGTTGAGGCGAGACCGCCGCCGCTGCTGCGGCGGCAGGGCCATCGCGCCATTTGGCGTCCTCCGTTGGCGTGCGCCCGTCTTGTCGCCAGTCTCTCCAACCCCTCGCTGACCAATCATGGCCGTCCTCCCAGCCACGCCAGCCGCTGCTGCGGCTATCCCACCATCCCCCCGCGCCACCCCATGTGTATCCGCCTGCATCGCCCATTGCAAGACGATGGCGCAGGCGCGCCTTAGGCCGCGATGGGCCCGGCTGCACCGGTGCTCACGGGCGATCCCACGGGCGCGGGATGGTTTGAGCATAGCGGCGACGGACGACGCGATGTGATTGGACGGCGGAGAACTTGAAAGGAAGGGGGGTTGGAAACGGATGAACGAAGTGGACGAAGAGCGGAAATCGAACCAGAGGGGGGGGCGAAAAAAGAGCGGAAGAGAATAAGGACATGCAGACGAAGGAGAGTGACGAGGTAGATGGCGGGCCAGAACGGCAACGGAGGATAATGTGGTGGAAATTGTGAAAAGGACGCATGGAAAAACACGACGAGGATCACAGACGCAAAGATGATGAGCGCAGTGGTAGCATGACATATCCGAAATCAAGAAGCAGGATGACGAGGAACGGGATGACGAGCAACTCTGTCGCAGAGAGCCTCCGAACGCACCCCCTCTGTCACAGAGGGCCTCCGAACGCACCCCCTCCGTCACAGAGGGCCTCCGAAAAACACCCCCTCTGTCACAGAGGGGGGAAATGATCACTTTAATGCGGCTTCTGGATTACGTGTCTGGGGCGCCGCCCCCTCGAACATAGACGCTCCCATGGCGTCCCCCTGGAGAGATGGACTCCCGTTGTCTTCGCCCTCTTGGCCCGTCTTGGGGCCCTCTTGCATCTTGCCCGTCTTGGGCCCTGCCCTGCGTGGGCCCTCTTGCGCCGCCCTGGAGAGATAGACGCCCGGGCGCAAACCCGATCGAGTGTCTATCCCCCCCCGGCGACGCCACGCCCGGGCAAGCACCGACATTTTGATCCCCGAAATGGAGGGGGGGCGTCCGACACAAGCTATTTGGCAAGGGCGTCGCCCTGGAGAGATAGACACCCGGGGGCAAACCCGAGTGTCTATCTCCCCCCGGCGACGCCGCGCCCGGGTAAGCACCGACATTTTCACCCCCAAAACGGAGGGGGGGGCGTCGGGCACAAGCTATTTGGCAACGGCGTCGCCCTGGAGAGATAGACACCCGGGCGCAAACCCGAGTGTCTATCTCCCCCCGGCGACGCCACGCCCGGGCAAGCACCGACAGTTTGATCCCCGGAATGGAGGGGGGGCGTCCGACACAAGCTATTTGGCAATGGCGTCGCCCTGGAGAGATAGACACCCGGGCGCAAACCCGAGTGTCTATCTCCCCCCGGCGACGCCACGCCCGGGCAAGCACGGACATTTTACCCCCCAAAACGGAAGGGGGGGCGCCAGACACAAGCTATTTGGCAACGGCGCCGCCCTGGAGAGATAGACACCCGGGCGCAAACCCGAGCGTCTATCTCCCCCCGGCGACGCCAAGCACGGGTAAGCACCGACATCTCCATTGCGTAATAGGGGGCCACTATCGCAATTTGTTTAAGGGGTCTCGCGGCGAACGGGGGGCAAAAACGCCAGCGGCGCAAATTCATGCGCGCCGCCCAAGATAGAAAGACACCCCGTCGCAAACCCGAGTGCCAATCTCTCCCTGGCGACGCCGCGCCCGGCCATTCACTGACATTGTCACTGCGTGCATTTGACGGAAAGGAAAGAAACACGTTTTTGTTTGTTGTGAAGACTTTACAACAAACAAAAACGCGTTTCTTTCCTTGTGTGAAGAAAAACGCCTCCAAAAAGTGTCGCGGCTAGCGAGTGGGAAAACGATGAGCCGACGCATGTTTTGCGGCGCCGCTGGGGCCCTCGGCGGGGCTCTCCCATGGGGCCGCGAAATGCCGAGGGTTGCGCCGACAGGGGCTGGGGAGACGCATGCGAACATCGCCATTGGGGCCTTCGGTGGAGCTCCGTATGGGGCCACGAATCGCGCGAGGTGTGTGCCGACATGAGCGGGGGAGACGCCTTGGCGATATCGCTCCTTGGCCGAGAAAAGAAATCACTGTATCAAGCTTACAACGGAAAGGCAACCACTTGGATGCACAACTGAACTTGTGGCTTTACCTTGTGTATTTTCGTGTCCGCGTACGTGCGTGTATGCGTAGAATAACAAATTGAATTTGGCCCCTCCCGCCACCGTGCCTTGCTTGTGGATGCGAGGGTATATTGGATGCGTGTTGGAGTCCCTAGAGGAGGCGGAGGAGGAGTGAGGCGGTTGCTTGTGGGCATGCTGGCATCTCAGAGGAGGAGGAGGAAGAGGCTGGCTAAAGAAAAGGATGAGGGGGGGGCGGAGAATGGGGGAGGTGGGAGGAGTACAAGGAGTAGAACGAGTAGGAAAAAAAACAAGAGGTACCAGAAAGAGGGGGAGGAGGCGCAGGAGCAGGAGGAGAAGGAGGGGGACGACCAGCAGCAGGAGCAGTAGGAGCAGGAACACCGCTTCACAACGGCGTGCAGGAGGGCACGCGCCGGCCCCTCCCGGCGGCGAAAGCCCGTCGGGTCGCTGGTTAGCGGCCGTCCTGAACCTTGGCGTTGTCCAACTTCTGGATAAAGGTGAAAAACTCCGTGGACGTGTGTACCTTGATATTGCCCCCATGGGGCGTCCTCGACGATCTCGCCGGCTACCTTCAGGTAGGCTACCCTGGTCGGCTGCGTCTTGTGTTTCTTGACGGCCTCCTTGTAGTCTTCGATCGTGCGGAGCTCGACCCAGTTCTTCGACTTGAAAGCGACCTCTCGGAAAATATTGTAGGCGTTCTTGTGGGCGTTCTCGAAATCGTTCGAGATGTACAGCTTCCGCTGGACACCCAAGGCGCTCTTGCATGCGAGCATGGCACCCTTGCCGTTGTTCAAGACGACGCTCGGAGATGCGACGAGTCCACCCACCAGCGTCGCAGTCCAAGTCTGGCGGAAGCTGGCCCTCGCAGGATCCTGGAAAGGCTAGCGCTCCATGTAGCGAGCTGCCTCTCGATCCCCCCGCCCCCGCCCCTGCTGGGCGGGGCGAGCTGGGGGGGCCAGGGCCTGCACTACGTGGATTCCTAGTCCCGTGTCCTGCGCTAAGAAGAAAGTTGCCTTCAGGGGGTCCGTCTCCATCAAGGCCGGGCTGAGCGCGCGGTTGGCTTGCTCCAGCGTGATCGCCTCCTTCGCGCCGTCGTCCATGTGCCAGTGGACGTTGGCCAGGGTGGCGAGGTCCACCGTCTGCTTGGAAGTGAAGATTTCCCCATATTTATCCTTGTTGTTTCGCTCGCGGTCGTTCTTGATGCGCCGATCGACGATATTCTTAGAGTCGTCTATGGTCTGCAGGTCGATCTCCGAGCTGATCAAGGCGCCGTCCATGAGGGCCTCAGCCTTGTTCCGCCTGTCAATGGCCAGCTGCTTATCTACCATTTTCTGGTGCGACTCCTGCCAGGCGTGCTCGTCGACCTCGACGGCGTCGGCGCCGACCTCGAACTTCTCCGCGACACTCGCCAGGGCGTCAATGACACTTCGGCGCCGCCGTCTCTGCCACTCCACCTCCGTCGACGCCTCCTTGGAGTCCGAGGCGACCGGCCGCTTCACGCCCTTGTCGATGCGAACAGTGTTGCCATGGTTCCGGGGCTTGTTGAAATTTTCGCCCCAGATCTCCTGGGCGCGCTGCATGGCGAAGTTGTCCTTGAGCTCCACGTGGGACCGGTCCAGCACGAGCTTTGCCACCATGGCCTCGGTGGAGTCCAGGGCGCCGAGGGCTTGCTCTCCGAAAACACGCTTGAATCTCGAGAAATCCTGTTCGACGCCAGCCGTGGAAATCGAGGCCGCCAAGTAACCCTGCAAGACATCGCCCAATGCTGTCATGCGGAAACGCTTCCCCCGCCCGTCGCGTAAGTTAGCGGGCCCTCGCGAGGCAGACTGCATGGCGTGCGCGCGCGTCGCAGCACACTGCCACGCATCTCGAACCGAGCACCCGTTGAAGACCATGCGCGACTTCGCGACTTGGGCCAGGTCGGCGAACTCGGCTTGAAGCTGAGCCTGGTCCACGCTGTAGAACATCGCGAGGCGCTCGAAGCAAGCGGCAAACTCCGGGTCAGAATACACGTTTTGGGATTTCTTCTTCTCGTCTATACAGAAGACTCGGAAGGCGGAGACAATCTCGTAGTTGGGGAATTTGGCCACGGTCACCGAAATCGATACCCTCACGAACGAACGAATGCGTTGCATGCAGGTCCGGACGGCGACGCCATCATCCAAGCAGGTCGGGCCACCGATGCTGCGCACCTGCGTCTTGGAGATCCTGAGGACACGAACGCTGTCAGTCAGGAGGTGGAGCATGTGGCGAGTGTACCCCAGGGTAACCAGGCACACCTCCTGGTTGAAGAGATACTCCAACTTGGCCAGGAACGTTTTCACGCGGGACGCCATCTCGGCAGCGTCGGACTCCTCCGAATCCAGCTCTCGAGTGAACAAAAGCCCCTCGTCTGCAGCATCTGCCATCATGGCTACTTGGATGCAAACCTCCTCCGTGATCATGCGCAAGAAATTGCGAGCGTCAGTCTTCTCCTCGCCGCCCCGGCAGACGGCCATGCAGCCGGCGACTTGCAGGAAGGCTGGCATGAAGAGGCAGAACCTGCCTTTGGGCTTTGCTTCGCTGTCGTGCCGATGATTGGCTGCTTTGACGTTCTTCACAGTGGCCACGCGTTGCTCCATTTCGACGATGTACCGTTCGAGCTCCGAGCGCCAAACCCTCAAGTGGTGGATCCGCTGCACAATGGAGTTCTTGCTCTTGAAAATGTTATCGTCTATCATATGGAGCGTCGGGTCGCAATCCTGCGGCTTCTTCGTTGTCCTTGGGCGTGAAACAACGAGGCTCACAATGCCAATGCCCTCCCCCCAAGAAAAAAAAACAAAACAATCTATAATTAATGCCTGAGCGGCCCCTTTTCGCCCTGTTCCTCCCTCCATCCCTATGCGAGGGAGCGCTGCGACCTGTGGCTCTAGAGTCCGCGTGTACGTACAGCGTCCACGTAGTCGTCCGCGTTTCGGGCGCAACCCACGCGGCCCTCCTGGAAGCGTATGTCTTGTCCCGAATGATCATGCTCAAGTTCGGCGTGATGCCCCCCTCGTCGCTGGGGCGTCGACCGAGGCGGCCGGCGGTCATCTCGTCGGAGGCCGCGTCAACTGTGAGGACCTTCACTTTCTCCAGAACCGACCTGGCATCGAGCTGGGCCTGCATGATGTCCTGCTCGTCGACTTCCACCAAGCAGCCCCTGGGGGGGTGAAAGCGCTTAGTCACAAGCGACGTCACGACGTGCAGTCGCCTTGTTGATCTCCTCCGAACCTGTGCCGGAAGCCTTCGTCTGACCCAGGACGCCCCTTCGGGCCTCGAACTTCTTGTCGACCGCGACGTAGCGTAGAGCCAAGCGACCTTGGCGCTCATCTCTGAGAAGTGTAATCTGAACTCCGTCCCGCATAAGAAACTCACGGTCGGCCTCCTTGATGGATTCCCACAGGCACCACTGAAGCTTCCGGGCCCGCTCGGCCTGGCCCACAGAATCAATCTTTCGCTGGCCCCTGCAGGCAGCGTCCCATACGGAGGCGAACTAACCAAGGGCCGGAGCGCCCTGGATGACTTTCATCGTGGGGCCAACCTCGATCTGCAAGTACTCGAGCAACGCACTTCGGTGCGTTTCCGACTTTGCATGCGACGCCAGCTCTGTCACCCTCATGCCGCGCTGGTCTCCGACGTACGCGTAGCTGACCAGCCTCGTCGAGTTCGCCCGCTCGCACTTCGATTGGTTGCATGCCACGCAGCCGAGCTTGACCACCACGATGCCCTCGTTCTCCTCCTGGGTCCATTTTGCATCCAGCCACGCGCCCTGGGTCAACTGCTGGGACTGGGCGGAGACTGACGACCTGTCGACGGCAGCTGGCGGGTCCATCATGAGACGGTGCTTCCATGTATTTTTGAAGATGATGTAGCGGCACAGGTCGCACGTCGCCTTCTTCTTGCAACGTCTCCAGTGCTTCCTCTGCTGGTCATTGTCCATGAACTGCAGAGAGCTAAAGGCGAGTGTCTCGGCTGCTGACTGCATCATGGTTCTTTGTTCGACCCCCCTTTCTTACGACCTTTTCGTAGGATGTCTTTCTGGACCCCCTCGCTTGCCCCATCGGCCTGCGCCGATTTCCCCATCGGCCTCCTCGCCAAACGACTGACCTACGAGGTGTTTACAAATCGAACTCCTGAGGCCGCGATGCAAGATTGGCCGCCGGGGCACCCCGCCCCTGCAGCCCTGAGCCAAAATGGATCCGGACGCTGTCGATGCGAAGTAAATCCACTGGCCCACCAGGGGACGCGAGCCAGGCTTCAGCGATAGATGATGTTATAGTTGTCATTAAAGCCAGCCGGTCACGAGCAACAATATAATGCCGCTGGAAACTTAGGCCCCGAGCGGCTTCCCCAGTTTTGTGTTTTGAAGGCGGGGCGGCAGGCACATGCAAACTATTACGAGACCGCGCGCCCCCGAGACTACGACCCTCCTGAGTGGCCCCTGCGCCCGCTTTCGAGAGGCCGCGATGCATTGGATAAAAATATGGGTGGCGAGCGGAACTTCCAGGGCGAACCCCTGCGACGATGCCATTCGATGCCCGTCGCTTCTATTCGAAACGCCTCCCTCTTTTATGAACACCACCATCTTCTTTGCAGATTAAGAACATGTTGTCTCAGAATGCGGTCACGAACATAAGTTGCACCACCAAGCGAATGGCACGCATGTGAAACCAGATGGATCCCGCCACGTCGAGAGCATCACAGATATTGCACAATACTGATTGCACCGCATAGCTTACACCACAAAGATGGCCTCCAGGATGGCCATGGCGGCCCCGAGAAAGTCCCGACGGTCACAATATGTCCCTAGGACTGCCAACGACGCACCCACGACGGCCGATGGAGGCCGACGACGGCCCGAGAGCCCCGCGAGAAGCCACCCACACGGCCCAAGAGGCCTCCAACAACTCCTCCGGGAAGCCCCGAAAAACGCAACATTAACGGATTCTTTGAAGTTGGTTTGTTTGGCCTCCCGGCGGCCCCAGACGGCCCAAGCGGCTACCCAGATAGCCCCGGGAGCGCCGGAAAGGCCTCCAAAGTCGCCCTACGACGGCCCAAGGTTCCCCCAATAAGGCCCCAAAGAAACCTCAAGACGGCCGAAGAGGCCTCCAAGACGCCCAAAATGGCCTACAAGACGGCCCCAAGAGGGACAACACCGTTTATTGAATGCAAAGGCAGACGGACTGGCCCGGAGATGTATTCAATTTATTCTCTGACACAGTGTAGAACGTGAGAATGTCAAACATGTCTTTCGCGATATTTCTTTGCCCGTCCCTCTGTCGGCTTCCTGCTTCGATTCGAAAAGCATTCCTTCTTTAATGGACATCCTCCCATTTTCTTCGCGGATTGAAAACATGTTGTCTCCGACTGTGGTCACGAACATAAGTTGTACCACCCAGCGTATATCACGCATGTAAAACCAAATTGATCTCGCCGCGTCGAGGGGATCACATATATTGCACCATACGGATTACGCCGCATAGCTTACACCGCAGAGATGGCCCCCAGGATGGCCATGGCGGTCCCAAGAAAGCCTACGATGGTCACAATATGTCTCTAAGACTGCCAACGACGCACCCATGATGGCCTATGGAGGCACCAGATGGCCGACGACGGCCCGAGAGCCCCCCAAGAGGCCACCAACACGGCCCAAGAGGCCTCCAACAACTCCTCCGGGAAGGCCCGAAAAACGCAACACCAACGATTTCTTAGAAGTTGGTTTGTTCGGCCCCCCGACGGCACAGGCCGGCCTAGGCCCTCCACATTGCCCCCAGAGCGCCCGAGAGGCCTCCAGAGTCGCCCCAGGACGACCCCAGTTGCCCCCAATAAGGCCCCAGAGAAACCTCCAGACGGCCCAAGAGGCCTCCAAGACGCGCAAAATGGTCTACAGGACGGCCCTGTGGGGGACAGAGCCGCCGAAAATAACAAAGGAAGACGGACTGGCTCGGATATGCAATCATTCTATCACACAGTGTAGAACGTGAGGATGTCATACAGGTCTTTCGCGATATTTAACTCCCCGTTCCTCTGTTGGCGCCCTGCTTTTATTTGCAACGCCTCCCTTTTTGTTTATGAACTTCCTACATGTTCTTCGCTGGTTAAGAACATGTTGTCTCCGACTGTGGTCGCGAACATGAGTTGCACCACCAAGCGCATAGCGCGCATGGCACACCGGACGGGCCTCGCCACGTCGAGAACACCGCATATATTGCACCATATTGATTGCACCGCATAGATGGCACCACATAGGTTGCACCCCACAGAATGCGCCACACATATTGCACCACATTGATTACTCAACCCAAAAATGACAAAATCGCTTACGCCAGAAAGTATGGCCCACGAGTATTACATAGCAGAGCAAAGCCAATCATAGCGCACGTACACCGCCGCTTGGACTGCAGCGAAGCACTGTTTGGGGGCCGCACTGGCTAAACCTTTCTTCCGAGGACCCGGAGAAGGTCACGCGCCAAACGCGCGCAGATCGCGAGCCGATGCGCCAAACGCGCTCCGACAGGCCAAGGAAGCAGAGAGGAGACGCCAAATGCGCCCCACCAAGACGCAATGAAGCCAATGTACCATATATGAGTTCCGAACGATGATATACCTGCAATTTTTCAAACTCTTCATTTGTCAACTTCTGCATATATGCAAGCCAACTTCTACATATATGAAAGCCAACTTCTGCAATGAAAGCCAACTTCTGCAATGCAAGCCAACTTCAAGTTTCGAACGATGATAGACCTGCATATACGAAGCCAACTTCTGCAATGATATGCAATGTCATTTGTTTTCAAACGCTTGAGCTTGTCATGGTCTGGGAGAATTGTTGATGTGTCCTTGGCGCGACGCTTCCGGCCTCCGTTCCCGATCCAGCGGCACAGCAGACCGACGTCGAAATCCGTCAACGCGCCCCCCGGCGCGCACGACGACGACGACGACGACGACGACGACGACGACGCAGGACCGTCAGAGACGGATCTGGGGTGAGAAACTGCGTTCTCGGGGGCCGGAAGCGCCCCGACCGGCCGCCGGAGCCCCGTCCTCGTTCCGGTCCTCCCTCCCGACAGCTCCCTCGTCAGACCCAGGGTGGCCACGGCGGCGACGACGACGGCGGCGGCGACGACGACGGCGACGACGGCGGCGGCCGCGGCGGCGGCGGCCGCCGCGACGACGACGACGACGACGACGACGACGACGACGACGACGACGACGGTCGAAGTCGGCCGAAGTCGGCTCAAAATCGGTCCCTGGACTCCCCCCAGGGCCCCCCCCGGGTCCGTCCTGGCCAGGTTCTCACCCGAAAAACGGGCCCTCGGAGGACGAGAACGGCAAGAAACCTCGAACCTCGAACCTCGACCCTCCCCCTCCTCATCCCCCATCCTCCTCCTCCTCCCCCTCTCCTCCAACTCCTCCTCTTCCCCCTCCTCCCCCCCCCCCATCCTCCCACCCCACCCCCCATACTTCCCCCCAAATCCTCGCGCCGTCTACCTGAAAGTACCGTCGCCGATATCCTGTTGTCTCTTCCTCTCCCCTATCATGCCCCCTCACCTCTTCCGAACCATGGCCTCAGCAACAATAAAACAAAGTATTACAAGTAACGGCGGCGCCTGCCGCAGGCAGCTGGATATTCCCCCGCCTTTCCAAAAACTGCATGTGCGACATTCACCGGGGCGCGAGGGCACAGGCGCCACATGGCTGACACGGGCAATTCTCCTGCCAGGCCTAGAATGAGGCCAACGCGTACTCCCTTCCTCGCAATGGCACTTTTTAGAATGGCTTCTGTGCGCACCGGGTCCCCGACGCGCTCCACAAGATCGCGCATGAAGGTGGCTCGAGACTTGCGCAAGGTGGCCTGGTCTGGTTTCTTGGACATGGACTGACGCAGATATGGTGCGACTGACTTACGCACGAATGATAAGATCATATTCTGACAGTTTCTGAGCCTCCCTGAGAGGCAAGAAATCCCCGCCCAGCACGTTCCCACAGCGCGGCCGCTCAAGCGCCGATCTTGCCACGCAGCCACTCTCACATTGGCCGTACTTGGTGCATAGTGAAATCAATTGATTGTGGTACGATGATGGGGATAACGGGATGTATGAAGTGAGCACTCCACAACGAGTGAATGCCTTTGGAGGCGGATGGAGCAACAATTGCCCTTGCAAGAACGAAATCTCTTTGACAGGATTGCCGCCCACTTTGAGTTTGTTGTTGTCCCTGTGCTCTGGTAAACCTTTTATATGTTCCCTTCCCAGCCCTGGCCATGAGCAAAGCTCCATGAGTTGCAATCATGGCCACATTATCTGGATCCCACCTGCCATCGATGCGCAATACATCTTCCCAAATTGTTTTAAACGCTGGGAGCAACCGTAACTTGTAAGCGAACTCAGAAAAGGGCAACCCTCCAGCGGTCATCAAGCCTCGGCGGGCGCATGGGCCCAGACGTTTCTTCTTTCCACCACAATCATGTAGCGCTGTGAGAAACAGTGAACACAAAATATCATACGTCTTTGGCGTGACGCCTGCATTGATTCTCACAACCACACAGCCGCAATCCTGAAAGAGTGTAGCGATGGAGGCGGCATACGTTTCGGTGCCTTCTTCAATGATAGGGAATGGTTTGACGTCGTCTGCTGCCTGCACCATTTTGTTCCCATGGATGCACCCCTGATCCCAGATGGCACAATCCACCACCGTGCCTGGGGGCACATTGTGGCGCACAAGAGCCGCCTGCTGTCTGATAGGGTTTTTGAGGAAATCTACAGGCCCCCCTCCCCCGGAAACATTCGAATTGCATGCAACGCCCCCTCTTCCCGAGGCTCTGTCCGCGCCCAAAAACGACCCCGGCGCCCCCCTGCGCGTTCGAGTTGCCAATAGATGGTTTCCAAGACGGGAAAAACGAGCCACCAAGAGCTCAAACACTGCCCAACGGCACTCCAAGACGACCGGCGACGGCCTCAAGCCGTTTGAAGATGGCCTCGAGAC